AACTGCCGCCTACACTCACTCGATACTGAAGATCAGATCAGATGGCCAGAAAGAATAAGCCACAAGGAACTCACTGTGGCCAAGTAACTAACCAGCGAAGAACTTATCGCTGAACAAGTCTGCAGAAGGGAGTGGAGATGGATTGGATTGGGCATAAATTGAGAAGACCGAGTGGGGACATCACGCACCAGGTCAGGCCAGACACTTGATTGGAATCCAAATCGGAGATGACGAGTTGAGCGTCGGAGATGAGGGTGACATGATGGAGATGATGTGAGGAAGAAATGAAAGCTTGTGGGCAGTTATGGAGCGATGTTCAAAAAATTGCAGAGAACAGATCGGAATGGAGGTGTGCTACTGAAGCCGTATGTTCCATTAGGAACCCAAGGGATAAATAAAATTCATAATCATGATAATGATAATTTAAAAGATTGAAATTACCAACAAAGTAATACAAGATTGATAACAGTATCCTTCTGAATACATAGATCAAGTTTAAGTCATTTAATTGGAACTACTTCAGCAAATTGCAAAGCAGTGGGTTTCCTTTGTTTATCAATCACTCTTAAGCGACTGTAATGAGTCAACTTTATATTTAGTATTCAGAAAATATCAAACGATTATGTTATCTAAACCCTGTGGAATCTTAGGACTCAGGATTCTTCAGGATTCACTAAGAAATGAGGATAACTACCCTTTTTTCAATGTATGTGCTTGATGACTAGTATTTATTCTGGTTAGATAGGTCTTCTTCAGTGCAACATATAGTCTATAGCTCATCCATGTGATGATTTCATCTTCTTTGAAGCCAAGCTGTAGATAAACAAGTTTCATAGGAACTTTACAACATTGAATTCATATCAATTCTGTCCTAATATACTTATAAATAAACTTTTGTGTGGGGTAACCAATATGACCCTTTGTTTTTTATCTAATTTTTCAATCTATTCTAAAACTTACTCTTACTTTCACATTGATGTTTTTCTGTTTGACCTATTATACATGATACAATCCATTTCCGAATAGAGTTGCCATCTAAATAACCTCATAGAAGAAAATTGATGTATACTTGCGGTAACGTCTTTTTTTTTAAGAATTAGGTCATTCGTGACCTATGACAAACCTTTTCTATCGATAGACGTCTTGAGTAGGTAGTAAAGATAGACGCTGTAATCGTGAAACGTTGGCTGAGTAGTTATGACCCAACAAATGGGTAATTCCACTTTTTCAAGTTGTTATTCGTTGTAGAATGACATCAGTTGGAGGAACAAAAGGAAACCTTGGAGTACTGGACAGCTAGCTGTTTCGTCAGACTAGTATGGGACTCCTCACCAGTACGCAAACACGACCCCGCCCTCACCGGATTGAACCCGCAACTTTCAAGTTCCACGGCTAGCGCGTTACCATTGAGCTAACCACTGGGTCACAATCCAATCGTCCATATTTACAACTTGTGTATTACCTCACGATATAGTGCAATCGCCAACCAATGTCATCGTTGAGTAACTGTCCTCATGACTATCAGGCTTTGCCCTCACCGGTCACGACTTCTCATTGGAACTTCATGAATACCTCTAGAAGCTAGTCACCAATGAGCATCAATTCAATTGAATTTTGAGGGTGTTGTGGGGATTTGCAAAATATTTCAAGTTGTTATTCGTTGTAGAATGACATCAGTTGAGGGGAACAAAGGAAACCTGGGAGCACTGATCAGCCAGCTGTTTTTTCCTAGTATGGGACTCCTTAGCAGTGCGCACCCACGACCCCGCCCTCACCGGATCGAACTCGCCACCTTCAGGTTTGGTGGCCAGAACGTTACCATTGAGCTAGCCACTGGGTCATAATCCAATCGTCCATATTTCCAACTTGTGTTAGCTCACGATATAGCGCAACCACCACCCAATGTTATCGTTGAGTAACTGTCCTCACGACCTCAGGAGCCCCATACTAGGATGAGATAGCTGTCCAGTGCTTTCAGGTTTCCTTTGTTGCTCCAACTTTTGTCATTCTACGATGAATAACAGTCTGAAGTATTTTTAAATCCCCACAATTCCCTCAAAATTCAATTGAACTGGTGCTCATTGGTGACTAGCTTCGAGAGGTATTCCCGAAGTTCCAATGAGAAGTCGTGAATGGTGGAGTCAAAGCCTGATGGTCGTGAGGACAGTTACTCAACGATAACATTGGGTGGTGGTTGCGCTATATCGTGAGCTTACACAAGTTGGAAATATGGAGCATTGGATTGTGACCCAGTGGTTAGCTCAATGGTAATGTGCTGGCCACGGAACCTGAAGGTGGCGGGTTTGATCTGGGGAGGATGGAGTCGTGGGTGCACACTAGTGAGGAGTCAGTTCCATACTAGTCTGACGAAACAGCTAGCTGTCCAGTGCTCCCAAGTTTCCTTTGTTCCTCCAACTGATTTCAGTCTACGATGAATAACAACTTGAAATACTTCCAAATCCCCACAACTCCCTCAAAATTCAATTCCATTTTTCATTGATTTAAAAACATTTATCACACAGTGTAACAGTATTGTTCACTGGATTACACAGTTTCGACATAATTGATTGTCCATTGTCATATCAAGATAACTACACAAGTTGGAGATATTCCTCATATTGTCATAGCTTCCTCGCCCCCTTTATGATGTTGATAGTAAGATTTTCCATATAGGTGGAATAGATGTTGAGTCATTCCTCTTGGTGATGAGTGTCTTATGTGTTGATTCTATGAAGAAAGATTCATTTATCAATCCTCTCCCTCCACCGTGCTAGGTTAGTTTTAACGATTTTTACCCTATCCCATCCTGTAGTATGATTGTGTGTTGTTGTAAGCTGAACTTTGGCTGGGCATTTTTGTAAATTCCTTACCATACTAGGATCTACCAATTTTGACTTAGATAGGTTAATGTGCTCAAATAGCCTAATTGGCCCAGGTCAACTAGTTTGATCCATGTATTTGACCTCGCCAATCGTTGTAACGGGCTTGGTAAGTCAAGATATTCTGCTTAATTGGATCAACAGTACCTTTTAACCGACAAAGCTTATTTCTAAGTGAGTTTATTGGTTTAAATGGTACTGTAAACCCAGACTACGTAGTGTTTCGGAGGTGTCTTCCTTTTATGTTAATGCTGTATAGGTTTTCAATTCTGTTTTCTCACTCTTCCGACTACTTTTATTAACATTATTATTGCCACTATTAATACTTCTGTCATTAATATTTTTCTTATGATTTCCAAGGAACTTATCAATTAATTTAGGAGGGTGATTATTGATGAGTAAGGCGTCTTTAATGTATCTGGTATCTTGGTTTAGATATTCTGTTTTACTAGCAAGTTTTTTGACCCTGTTACTTAGACACTTCACTAAGCTAACTTTAACTGACACAGAGTGAGACGATTTGAAGTCTAAGTAACAATTTGAATGTAAAGGATTTTTGTGAATATTACTTTTTCAACTTCCATCAAGTTCCTCTTTTATTCTACAATTAAACATCGATAACATAGTAGGTTAGAGGAAGAAGATTGATAAATGAATCTTTCTTCATAGAATCAACACATAAGACACTCATCACCAAGAGGAATGACTCAACATCTATTCCACCTATATGGAAAATCTTACTATCAACATCATAAAGGGGGCGAGGAAGAATATCTCCAACTTGTGTAGTTATCTTTATATGACAATGGACAATCAATTATGTCGGAACTGTGTAATATCAACACATGGATAGTTTTACATAAACTACTGTGTATCACTATCATTCTACGCAGCCCCCTATCTAGTTGTGAGTAATCATGACAAGAGACAAATAATGAAGTATGTTAACCTAATCAAAAAATGGATGCATTTAGCAGTGTACAGTTTAAAATTAAATCTGAGTGAAAAGTTCACAAATTTCCTGGTTATCTCTCGTTCAGCATATATATATGCCGATGATTTCTGTCCAATGTTGCACAAACTCGAAGATCTACAGGCAAAAATTCAACAAGTTGGCAGAAGAGACAGCGAAGAAAAGACTTCAAGTGAATGTAGAGAAGACAGAGGTGATGAAGATACCCAACCAACAACAGTAAGCACTAATTACCATGAACGAGAGAAACCTAAAGGAAGTAGACTCTTTCACCCACCTAGACAGTGACATTTCAACTACAGGCTGGATAGGCACAGATGAAGCCGGTCGGGACCGGAAAAGCAAGACAGGCCTTCCTGCATTAACCTGAAACCAATGTGGTGATCTTCTACACTCAGCACAAAACGTGAACAACATCCCAATTTTAAACACCAATTCAGTCAACTCAGTGCTTCTATGTGATGGTTCAGAGACTTGGCGTGTCACTAAAGGCATTTCCAACAAACTACAGATATTCATCAACAGCTGCCGCCTACACTCACTCGATACTGAAGATCAGATCAGATGGCCAGAAAGAATAAGCCACAAGGAACTCACTGTGGCCAAGTAACTAACCAGCGAAGAACTTATCGCTGAACAAGTCTGCAGAAGGGAGTGGAGATGGATTGGATTGGGCATAAATTGAGAAGACCGAGTGGGGACATCACGCTCCAGGTCAGGCTAGGCCGAGGTGAGGGTGACATGGTGGAGATGATGTGAAGAATAAATGAAAGGTTATGGGCAGTCATGGAGCCAGGTTTCAAAAGAAGACTCGGGAGAAGAGAGTGTAATGGCGACGTGCTATTGAAGCTGTATGTTCCATTAAGAACTCAAGGGATAAATAATAATAGTTAAATTACGTTTATTATACACTTATAATTTTATTATTATGGCGATTCTCCTCTAATAAAGTGAATAATCTTGAAATGCTTACCAGTTAAGATGATCTCTTTAACGCATCAAAACAATATCATGTGTTGATGTACATCTATTTTGCAAATCAATTTGTAAATTAGATATTTTATAAGGTCATGGATGATTTCATGATTGGTCAACTAATCTTTATATAAATAGTATATTTCATCGAATTTGAGAAGACGTAACCTGTGTAACAATTTACTTCATTTAACATCAACTAATGTCTAACAAGAAATATTTTAATCCACCAGAAATCTTGGTAATTGGAGTTGGTTTACCACGTACAGGTACATCAAGTTTAAAGGCTGCACTTGAAATTTTATACAATACTCCATGTTATAAATTAGATGAAGTTATACGAAAGCGTAGAGATCATATATTGAAATGGCAAAGTTTGATGGATCAGGCAAAATTTTCTAAATGTGGAATAATCAATAAACAAACTGTTTATGAATTACTAGAAGGCTATAAGACTGTTGTCGATATACCAGTCTCTGTGTTACATAAAGAGATGATGGCAATTTTCCCAAATGCAAAGGTAAGCAAAAAAAATTTTCAAAAGTTAAAACAAAAGTTTGATTAAATGAGGGGGAGGGAAGGAAGGGAAAATTTTTTTTTTTTAGGATAAAATATTTATGGGTTTGACTAAGTGATATAACAATAGTTGTATTGATACTGGATGAAGATTGAAGGCGAAAGGAAAATCTGGGCCATGGGAGGTTTCGGTATCGGATCTTGGCTCCATCCCCCTTCCCCCATCCATCCAGATCAACTAGGACTTGGCATTACTGCTTAACGGTCTGAGTCACCCACAGCCCATATCAGGACATTGGGTAACAAGGCAGTAAGGTGAAAGATGAAGATAAGAAAATTCAGTGAAAGGAAATATAAAGTACGAGAAGAAAGAAAGGAAGAATGAGAAAATGGTGAGATTCGGTATAGCATCGTTAAGATGAGGATAATATGTGTGCGGATACATCTACGCCACTGACATCGGTTCTGAGCCGTATCACCTAGAGTCAGTCTCCAACCAGTGGTTCCTCTTGTCCGGCGGACCCAAACCGACTAGTCTACATCACCCCCATATGGCTCAAACCAACAGTCAGAGACTTGATACATCGGTACCATGTTTTAGTCTGGCCACCTATCACCTTTTTCCAACCTGAACCTACTTCAGTCAACATTGTATGAGGAGGCAATTGGCGAATAGGCATACGTAACACATATCAGAACCAACCATCTCAGTCGATGAAGGTTCACAACCTTGTCAACCGACTTACCTCTTCTCCCTAAAACTCTGTGCCTGACGTCTGGGTTACTCATGTGGTGACACCACGGATACTGCCTATACTACGAAGGCGACAGTGGTCAAACATCTGAAGCTAGCCTTCTCATGTCTTAAACCTTGAGTGTTTCACAGCCATACAGTAGAACACAGTGGACTGCTGTGCAGTATACGCGACCCTTACTAGAAAATCTGATATCATGGTGGTGTCACAGGTGGCGTAAGTTGGCGAAAGCCAGTCAAGCCTTATGTATCTGTAAAGAGATTTTACCGGCCACTGAGCAGGCAGAGCTGATCCTACTTTCCAGGTAAGTGAAGTGGTCAACACACTCAACCATTCACTCTCTGTTGTCAGTCGCGGTGGGGCACCGTCGAAGACCAGTCGTGGTGCAGCAGTTTGCATTTGTGCGATGAGAAAAGCATCCCAAAAATTCTCAAATTCCCACTCAAAGTGTTCAGAAGACTCTGCATCTCATCAGTCAGTGTCCACCTAACATGACTATATCATCTGCATTTTCTAGGTCTAACGAAAATTCTCCTGAGATTAGGTCAACTTCTGTGTAGTCAGGTGACGAAAGGGAGACCTGCATAAGAATATCTATGATAAAATTGAATGAGAATAGAGAGAGTAGGTACCCTTGATGGACACCAGTCGATGAGTACAGCCCATCTGACGTCTCACCATAGGCTCTACAACGTCCATAAGTGTTCGAGTAGAGAGCTTTCAGTGAGGTGATATACTTATTCAGCACGCCTTTCAGTGAGAGACATTGCCATAAGACTTCTCGATCAACGGAGTCAAATGCCGCCTTCAGGTAGAGAAATACAGCGAGTGTCGGGCTACGGTAAGCGTGTCTGTGTTCCGTAACCTGGCGCAGTGTGAATACTTGGTCGGTACACCCCCGGCCAGGTCTAAAGCCTGCCTGGTTTTCTCGGGCTTACTGTTCCTGAGTTTCACTCAGGCATCGACGAACTATATAACCTAGAATCTTAGAAACTACGTCTGTCAGGTTGATTCCTTTGCGGTTATCACAAGAGGACTTCTCGCCTTTCTTGAAGACTGGGATAATCAGTGACTTAGACCAGTCAGAGGGGATCGTATTTATTTCCCATATACTAGCTAACACTTCCGTTAACCTGACTAAGAGCACTGTACCACCATCCCTGTATACCTCAGGAGTTAGTCCGTCTGATCCTGCTGCCCTTCCTCATTTCAGGTTACCTACCGCTTTCTCAACTTCTAGTGTTGGGGACCTATCTCTGTGTCCCATTCAGGATCTGACTAGATAGCAGGCAACGCAATGGTGGGTGAAGGCCAGTTAAACCGTTCCTCAAAGTGTTATGCCCATCGTTCCAGTCGTCTCCTCTGCGAGTGAATCGCAGATCGGTCCTTCTCCGCTATGGTCTCTCTGACCGCAGTCGATGTTTTATCCCCAGTTCCCTTAATAAGTCTAAATAACTGTCTGCTATTACCGGTCGCCGCTGCCTTTTCCATCTCTTTAGCCTTCGCTGCCCACCACTGTTCGCGATCATTGCATAGACTTTTTCTCAATCTACTTTTAGGTTGCGCTAACCCTTCATTGTACTCAGAGCCTGCAGGGAGGCGTTTACGTGCTTCCATTAGTTTGGAAGAAGCTGCTGAAATCCACTGGCTCTTTTAAGTCACTCTTTCGGAGTCGGCTACGGTCTTCAGCGCTGCTTTTACAGCAGACTGAAGATGGTACTAAGCTTCTTCTGGATTAGTGATAATCTTCTGTTCCGATAACTGCCTAGTCAACTTCTTACTGAACACGGCTTCGGTGTTTTCGTTATCCAGCAGTATTCATTGTGGTTTTGACGCCAAATTTTTCCTACGTCCGTTGAGACGCAGACATACGCGCTCGGACCAACGCGTGGTTGCTATCCAAGCATGTACTCCAGAAGGAGCGGCAGTCATCTACCGATCCTCTCTAACGATGACTAATAGCAGTGTGGTCTATCCGCTTCCATCGCTGGGTTGAGCTCGGGGGATGCCACGTCAGACAGTGTTATTTCTTATGTCTGAAATTTGTGCTGTCTAAAAATAGGCAATTATCTGAGCACAGTTGCAATTCGTTCAGCCGGGACTCTGAAAGTGCCCCCTGAGTGCCTTTCTGCCTCACTCAGTCTACTCATCTGTGCACTGAAGTCACCTGCAACAACTAACACTTCCGAACGTTTGACTTTCGAGAGGAGGCTAGACAGTTTACGGTAGAACTCGTCCTTCACTTCATCCGATTACAGTCAGTGGGTGCGTAAGCAGAGATTACAAAGAGACAACGGCGAGTCTTCATATTCTTTTTAGTTCCCAGTGTGCCATTCAACCGCATAGCACAGAGGCGACTATCAATTGGGATCCAGTCTAGTAGTGAGTTTCCTGCTCTAGTGCTTTATGCTATGCCTATACCTGCAAGACCACGAGAGCTAGCTATCGAATCTCCAGAAACTCGAAGGGTGAATTTTGCGGATTCACCAGATTGGTCAGGAGAGGTTAGGTGAATAACTGCACTTGGGTACTGCATGTGTGTCTCACAAACACAGCACACATCCATGCCCGTGTTGCTACAGTCTTGGCCAATGAGGTCTGCTGACCAACTTGACGGAGGGTGCGGACATTGAAGGCTACAACATGTAATTTGGAGCGTGGTTTAAGGAGACCAAGGATGCTGTTCTGTGGACTCAGATCGTTGTCAAAGGCTGCAGAACTAGAAGAAATTGAAGATGATGTAGTATTGTTAACTAGCAGACGTGAAGGAAGATTAGGAGGTGATGAGAGGGGGTGGATAGCAGACTGAGGAAACTTGAGTGCTGATCGAGTTGTGAGGGCGATTAATACTTCCCGGCTGCCCACACCGTGGAAGGCTAGTTCTTCTTAAAGTACCTAAGGCCTGTCACACTCAGCCTTTTGCATATGATTATTTTGATATTTTGTTGTTTTGGGGTCGGATGGTCGAAAAGAAACGACAAATGAACCAACACCACAGGCCCGGCATAACGTGGGGCATGGCGGAGTGTGTTATTTTTAGGGGCGACCTTTTCTAACCCCCTCCCACCCATTTCCATTGAGAAGGCAGAATCAGCATGGCACTGCTGGTCATCCAAGGGAAACACCTTACTACTGTTACACCCCATCCAGCTAACAGCAGCACGACTTCGTCCTCAGACCCCCATCATAGTGTAGTAATTTATACTATAACGGTAACTGCTTTTCGTCTAACCACTATCCAACAGACCTTTCTGGTATGGAAGGACCTCGAGGGAACAAGTGTTTCACCAGCATAGCCCGTTCGGTCATTATGATATGCAAGCCGGACCACCACGTCAAGGTAGCAGCTATCGGTCGGGCTTCTCCCCCTCCTCTTCGTCTTAGATTTTCCCCTCCATTTAGAACCAATCTACCGTTGCATGGATCAAAAATTTAGATTCGCTATGTAGACGATACTTTCGTCATCATTAAAAAAAGATGATATAGAAAACACTCACAGATTGATCAACAACGTTTACAGTGACATCGAATTCACATTGGAGAAGGAGTCAAACAATCAACTATCACTCCTGCATGCTTTAGTCAGTACGACAAATACCGGAAAACTGAAAACACAAGTGTACACGAAGTCAGCACACACTGATCAAATCCTCATCTGGGGTAACAACAACCTGACAATGTAAAACATTAGTTGCGTGCAGACTCCATTCAAAAGAGTGAGAACACACTACAGCACAATAACCTCATGGAGAAATGATGAAAATTAGTTGGTGTCCATCCTAAAGAGGAACGATTACCCACAAAACTTTATCACAACATGCCTATCCCAGACATCATCAACTACAAAGTCATCCACAGAAATCAATAAACGCATCATCCTACCATATATAAAGAACACATCAGAAATCACGACAAGATTACTGAGGCAAACCACTTGGAATTGGTGTGACTGGCTCATAAACCAACAAATTCCCTCTCAATATCTATTATGCAGACCGAAGTATACAACAACCAAAAAGAAGACTAACCGAATATCATTTACAAAGTCAACTGCAATAACTGTAGTCAACACTAACTTGGACAAAGTGGTCACCCATCTTCGCCTTCGTCTAAATGAACACCAATTGACTATTAAACGTCACACACAACATTTCATCACTCATTTCATTCAATTCATGTGGATAACAACAATGGACATGAATTAAACTTCGACAGTGTAGAAATTTTGGAGGGAGAGAGGTAGCACAGAGAATATCAGAGAATTCCTTGAAGTTTGACATTCACTTCAGTCAACCAGTCAGTCAGTCAGTCAGTCAACAATGAATACATGTATGGACGACATAGACCACAGTCTGTCAACCAATGAGAAAAGTGATAAACGACGGAGAGGTCAGAGGTGAAGTAGAAGAACAGGGAACAAGGAAATCTATGCAATCAGCCAATGACACAATAATCAAAGGAAATAATTACTGACACACAGACCAGTTGTTTAAGGCAAGCTACTAAATGACTGATGGAAACATATTGACAGCTCACTTCATATTGAAGTTAGTACTGATGATGTCGTTTCACTTTACTGACCACATTGAAAGCTTGATCAACGGAATACATTTGGTACTTTATACTACATAATACAACATATTCTGTATCACATAGAAGAAAAAGGTTCTAATTTTCTCGCCTCCTTCTTAGTATATATCCGGAACATGTGCTGAGTCATTTCTGTTGCTTGATGTATTAAGTGTTGATAAGATAAGCAAAGATTCAGTTATCAGTCTCTCCCTCTGTTCAATTAATTTACTTCTAAAGATTTTTACTCTGTCCCATCTTATAGTGTGGTTATGTGTAATTGCATGCATAACTATAGCTGAGCTGTTTTATAAATGTCTTACCTTACCAAGATCTTCGACAAAACAATAAGACGTAAATTGTCTGAACCGTGTAATGGTGTATTTGCGTAACACATTTCGAACGATCTGATCACACAAGTACTTGTCATAGGTATTTATATAAAAACTCATGAAGATAAGTTGGGTGAGAAAATAAAAAGAGGTCAGGTAAGAAGGCTGAATTAAAGGCCGAATAACAATGAAAATCAATAGAGCAAAAAATAATAGTCCACCGAACTTGGTTTTCAATAGCTGAATTTACCAAGGAAGATTTAATGTGACAACAAATTGTTTATGAACGCATAAAGGTGGTTTCAACTTCCTAATAGCTAAGGCTTCAACAAATTTCAGGATCCCTCCCTAACATGTTTTGTAAATAGGTGTAAAGGAAGTAGCCATATCAATCCTGTGGCCTGTCTCAACGATATGTTTGGCGATCGAATAACTTAGACATCCGCTACCAACATTTATGGGTTCAGGTGATTTAATTTGCTTCTGAAGCCACTTGGAATATGTTCTGAGGCCTCTTACTTGTATGGATCTATTAGTCCTCCGTATGTATGTGTCACCACATGTACATTTGAATTGCTAGATACAATGGGATGTGACGTTGTCGTTCACATGCTGTGGGGATTTGCGGGAATATACGGGCTTCGTGGTTTCGATTACTCAAACCATGGCTGCTTAGTAAATCCTTCTAACAGCAACGTTAAGTCTGTGCTTAAGGATTGCACTCTGAGAGTCACCTTTGTACGGAAGGCTGATGAAGACATCCTTTTTTGGGACAGACTGAAGGTCTAGTTTTGGCGCTCTAGTAATTTTGTTCTACCTTATAAATGTTGATGGATAGTTATTTTCCAACAAAATATCAGTTAGTGTTCCTCTTTCATCTTCAAAAGTACCCTATGTGCATTTTCGTTGAATTCTGTTGAATAAGCACCTTACTAGTGTTCGCTTGTACTGAACTGGACAAAAGCTATAGTAATTCAGATATTGCCCTGTTCATCTAGGTTTTCTGTAGATAGATCGTTTTATGGATCCATCCTGCCTTCGACTAATTAATATATCCAGGAACGGCAGGCAGTCATCTTCCTCTCTTACACATGTCAAGGATGATATGCTGTTCTGTACTTCGTTCAGTCAGTTTAGAATTGAAGTAGACTGAGAACTATCAATTTGAATCTAGTTACCTATTTTATGCTCGAATAGTCTGATTGAACCTATATATTTGACCTCGTAATCGTTGCAGTATAAGTTTGTAGGTTTATATGCCACTCTAACCCTAGCCAGCCTTATTGAGAATCCTACATAATGTCTGCGAGGTGCCTACCTCATATGGCAATACTGTACAGGTTTTGAATTCTCTCTTCATAGTGTTCTCACTATTATTATCACTATTAGTAACAACTATATTACTAATAATAGTCATATTTTTCTTATGATTCTAAAGGAACTTATCGACTAATCTAGGAGATTGGTAATTGATGAGTATAGTGTCCTTAGTGTATCTGGTTTCTTGTCAAAGATCTTGTGTTTTACGACAAACCTCCAAATTCAATCAATCTAGGTTCGGCAGGTTCCATTTAGATCGGATATATTGAAAAAGTTCGGTCTTAGTTATCCATGCAACTATATACAATCACACAATAGGATCGGAGAAAGGGAAAATCCGTAAAACTGTCTAGTGAGACAGAAAGAAAGATTGAAAACCGGATTATTGTTGATCCAATCAAAGCCTAATACATGCAACAAGAATGGTTCGGTAACTGTTCCAGTTATATACGAAGGACTGGGTGATGATGATTGAAGATGAAATGAAAATTTGCATCTCTGCCCCGGATTCCAACTGGTGAACACCGGGTTTCCCGCCCAATACTCTACCAACTGAGCTAAGAGGTTCGATTACTGACCAGATTTTTATTTCAGTTCAACCATACAGGGTTGTTTGCTCCCACTATGATGGGAATTCGTGACGCGTTGCTACCACTTGATCGTATTCACACTGACTGCCTAGAAGGAGGCAATAAAATCGGAACTAACCATAAACCATGTCTCAAAGTTGTGGATTTCTCTAGATATGAATGTGGACAATAGATTGTATCCAAAACGTTGTTATGCAGTAAATAATACTCTTCCTTTACTGTGTAATACATCGAATATTATTGTTATTATTTTTCCCTTGAGTTCCTAGTGAAAGATAAGGCCTCAGTAGCACGCCTCCATTGCACTGTGTTCTCTGTAGTCTTTTGGACCGGTCTCCACCACTGCCCGCGAGGTTTCATTTCCCGCTCACATGATCTCCTCCGTGTCACCCTCACCTCCGACGCCCAACTCACCGTTTCCCATGCAGGTTCCACTCGATGACCTGGCCTAGCACCTGATGTCTCCAATCGGCCTTCTCAGTGTATGTCCAGTCCAGTCCATCTCCACTTCCTTCTTCAGTATATTTGTTGGCCGATGGGTTCATGGTTGGTTCACTGCCAGTCTGGTGTGAGTTCCTCCTTGCTTATTTCTTTCTGGCCATCTGATCTGATCTTCAGTATCGAGTGAGCGTAGGCGGCAGTTGTTGATGAATATCTGAAGTTTGTTGGAAATATTTTATTCAACCCACCAAGTTTCTGAACCATATAAAAGCACTTACTTGACGTCGGTGTTGAAACTCCGGATATGGTTTACGCTTTATGCTGAGTGGAGTGCAGTAGATTTCCACACTGGTTTCAGGTTAATGCAGGAAGGCCTGTCTTGTTGTCTTTCCGATCCCGCCTGGCTTTCACGTCCTCGTCTGTCCCACCTGTAGTTAAAGCGATGTTGTCTACGTAGGTAGGTAGGTAGGTAGGTAGGTAGGTAGGTAGGTAGGTAGGTAGGTAGGTAGGTGAAAGAGACTAACTCCTCTACGTTTCTCCCTTCATGCTGATTGCAGCTTCTTGTTGTTGTTGGTGGTGGTGGTGTTGGTTGGCTATCTTCATCACACCTGTCTTCTCCACATTCAACTGAAGTCCCGTTCTCTTTGACTCACCTCACCTCTTCTATCAACTTCTTGAATTTCGCCTGTAGATCTTCGAGTTTGTGTGACATTAGACACTAGTCATCATTGGCGAAAGAAATCCAAATCTTGTAGGATATTTTCTGCGGTCCAGCATATGCCCCTCTTCTCGCTTCTTTCTGTTTGTTGCATGATTCAGTCCTCCACAATGAGGAAGATGATGAGTGATCGTAGTCGACAGCGTTGTCTTACTGCTTTCTGTCTTCACTTCGAAGTCGTGAGTGAGCTTTCCATTGTGGATTACTTGTCATGTGACGTCTTGATATAGCTGTTGAATGTGGTTGATATAGATTTGTGGCATTGCGTAGTGTTGAAGCAGTTGCTTTGCAAATTACTTCTCGGTCGACGCTGTTGAAGGCCATTCCAAAGTCGATGAAGTTGAGGTTGAGTTGATTTGACTGCCATTCTATACTCTGTTCTATGATGATGCATAGCGTAGCGTTACAATTTGATCCTGAAGCCAGTCAACCAGCCAGCCAGCCTTTCCTTCCTTCTAAACCTTCTGCAATAGTGATATGAACATATCCATTGTTATTTCTAAGTCTCTTAATACATCGAATAAATCAACTAAAATGTTATTACAACATAAGTTAATTCATCATGATGAATCAGTGTAAATTTCATATTCAACTTGGCACTCATCAACTCGATATATCTTTACCTTAATAAATAACCCCCATAGCATCATCTATTATACCAGTATGGATCATGATAATCATATCAAAAGTTTATAAACTCTATATCAGATTTTTTGTATATTATTCATATGATTTATACTAATATATATTACTTACAAGTATAATTTTTCTTTCTTTCTCATCTATTATTTATTTTATCTCTTATTATTATAGTTCATATTTAGTTGGAGAGATAAAAATGATTGGTTGAATAGTATGCGTGATACAATATCATTAAATAAAAATCAATTATTTGGTAATGGATTAATTGGTAGTTTTATTATCAAATTATTTGTTGGTAATGGAATTGAACATTTAATAGATGGTACATTATATTATGCATTTGATAAAGAATTTGATCATCATAATGATGATCAATTATTATTACAATTATATGATATATGATATATATTTAAATAAAGTGAAATTAACTATCCCTTCAAATAAATTATTAATACATAATTATAAAGATGGTTGGGAACCATTATGTAACTTTCTTAATTTACCTATACCTAATGAATCATATCCGCATAAATTTAAGCGTAAAGAAGTTCAAAAACGTATAAGAGATCTACGTAATATTATATATATTATAAAGTATATAATACCGGCAGGTATTGTAATCTGTTTATCATGGTATATTACAAAGAATATTTTATAGTAACACTATTATTATTATTGTTATTATTATTAGTAATAGCAATAATACTGTTGAACTATAAAACCTAACTGGATCTTTTGTATGTGAATGCCTCTTTCCTTTTTTAAAACTATTTACCACAAAAAAAAACAAAACAAAATAAACAATATTTATTTGTATTTTTTTTCATTCTAGTCATCCATGTTTGTTTGTATTCCTAATTATCTCTCTCCTTCTCTGTGATGACAACGGTTGTAGAATCTTTTATATATCTCGGAAAGGTACACAACCATTCCTATGACTCTATGTATTCGGCGTTGATTCGATAAATAAAGATTCAGTCGGTTATCAATCTCTCCCTCGCTCCCTCCCTCCCTCCACCCAACTTAAGTTGGTTTTCAACACTGTCACCCCATCCCACTCAACTGCGTGATTGTATATCATCACATGCATAGCTATAGCCAGCCAAGCTTTTCTCTACATTTCTTATCTTATTAGGATAGGATCAACTGATCTTGATTAAGCTAAGTGTTTGTGCTATGTTATTCTAATCGACCCTGACTAGTCGACTACTTTGACTTACCTATGTATTTGACCTCTCAATCATTGCAAGGGATTTGATGAACCAGATTAGTTTGCTTAATTCCATCCATAGGATCTTTTAACCTAGAAAGCTTGTTTCTAAGTGAGTTTGTGACTTAGAAAGTGAAGAAGGTGAGCTAGCAATGTTGGATTGTAAGATTAAACGAACACAAGAAGGAAATCTAGAGACTAGTGTCATCTATGGGAAACCTTTCCATTTGAATCGCTGCATAGACTTCAAATCTTCCCACCTCATTTCAGTTAAAGTTGGGTTAGTTAAATGCTTAAGTGATAGAGAGAAAAAGCTTACTAGTAGATCGGAAAATCTACTACAAGAAATTAGACACATCAAGAATCAACGCCGAATACATAGAGTCATAGGAATGATTGTGCACCTGTCCGAGATATATGGAAGATTCTACAACCGTTGTCATCACAGAGAAGGAGAGAGATAGTCAGGAATATATGAGGTCTGTCTAGAAGTTGTGGTATTGCCTAACCCGATATGAATATGGACAATAAATTGTGTCCCAAAACTTTGTTATCCAGTAAATGCTACTGTTCCTTCACTGTGTAATATTTCTAATAAACAGACTAAAATGGAATTACAATCGATCAGAGTGCCCAAGTTTTACTCTTATATTAGGTTATACTATGCCGAGAACTGAATAATTTAGAAAATGTGGGTCACCGGATCCTTGCTCAATGACTGCAGAACCTGAATGTTTTAGGTCATATCCATGATAGAGGTGATAAATGGTCGCTTCTAAGGAGTCTTGTACTACAATGAAGTAGTTGTGTAGTACTTTCATGCTCTCACTGATTCACTAACTCAGATCAGTCTAGGAGGAATATCAACCTTAAAGCGCTAGCCATGAAAATACGATCTATTTATTGTAGGTTATTTTTCAAGTTTTCTACTTTGAAATCTGTAAAACTTTGTGATCACATTTGTAACTATGATGTTAAACCTTAGTTCTCATTGCTTAATTCATACATCTAGCTACAGGAGTACATTACAAATAATGCAGAAGTGATATGAAGCTATTTGTGGGCTTATCATTTGAATTGACAACATCTATGCAAATATGAACTTGAATAAAAGGTTATTGTTTATCTTAGTGACTACAAGAATAATCCAGCTTGGAGTGTGTTTAGTGCTGTTTGAGATCTTCGCTTCAAATATCAGAGTATTATCCACTAAACCATTGTGGCAAGATAGTGATCTCTCTTGCAGCGGGTATCAGTTGTTGTTGTATTGCTAATTGTAATTTCTCATTGCTATACAAAGTCGAATGATTGAACCTCTATTATTATATGGGCTTCTGTGCTAATGTCTCGATTTATTATTATTTACTTATTTCCCCTTAGGGTTCCTAGTGGAACATACGCTCTGTTCTCTGCAATCTTTTCAACATGACTCCACCACTGCCCACAAGCTCTCATTTCTTCCTCATATCATCTCCTCTATGTCACTTCCGCCTCCGACGCCCAACTCATCGTTTCCCATGCAGGTTCCACTGGAGTGCCTGGTCTGATGCGTGATGTCTCCACTCAGTCTTCTCACTGTATACCGAATCCAGTCCATCTCCACTTCCTTCTGCATATTTGTTGAACGATAGGTTCTTGGTTGGTTCGTTACCAGCCACAGTTCCTTGTTGCTTATTCTTCCTGACCTTCTCATCTGATTTTCAGTAACGAGCCAGCGTAGGCAGTTGTTGATGAATATTTGTAGTTTGTTGAAAATGCTTTTCATGACGCGACAAGTCCTTGAACCATCACACAGAAGCACTGACTTGACATTGGTGTTTAAAATCGAGATGTTGTTCACGCCTTATGCTGAGTGCAGAAGATCTCAACACGGGTTTCAGGCTAATGCAGGTAGGCCTGTCTTGCTGTATTTCCGATCCTGGATGGCTTTCACGTCCTCGTCTGTCCCACCACCTGTAGTTGAAACGATGCTGTCTACGTAGGTAGGTAGGTAGGTAGGTAGGTAGGTAGGTAGGTAGGTAGGTGTGTAGGTAGGTAGGTAGGTAGGTAGGTAGGTAGGTAGGTAGGTAGGTAGGTGGGTAGGTAGGTAGGTAGGTAGGTAGGTAGGTAGGTAGGTAGGTAGGTAGGTAGGTAGGTAGGTAGGTAGGTAGGTAGGTAGGTAGGTAGGTAGGTAGGTAGGTGTGTAGGTAGGTAGGTAGGAGGAGGTAGGTAGGTAGGTAGGTAGGTGAAAGAGACTACCTCCTCTACGTTTCTACCCTTCATGGTGATTGCAGCTTGTTGTTGTTGTTGTTGTTGGTGGTGGTGTTGGTTGGCTATCTTCATCACACCTGTCTTCTCCACATTCAACTGAAGTCCCGTTCTCTTTGACTCACCTCGCCTCTTCTGTCAACTTATTGAATTTCGCCTATAGATCTTCGACTTTGTGTGACATTAGACACTAGTCATCATTGGCGGAAGAAATCCAAATCTTGTAGGATGTTTTCTGTGGTCCAGCATATGCCCCTCTTCTCGCTTCTTTCTGTTTGCTGCATGATTCAGTCCACCACGATCAGGAAGATGATGAGTGATCGTAGTCGACAGCGTTGTCTTACTGCTTTCTGTCTTCACTTCGAAGTCGTGAGTGAGCTTTCCATTGTGGATTACTTGTCATGTGACGTCTTGATATAGTTGTTGAATGAGATTGACACATGTTTGCGGTATTCCATAATGTTGCAACAGTTGCCAGTTTACTTCTCGGTCGACGCTATCGAAGCCCTTTTCAAAGTAATACTTCTGTAGTTAAGCATCTGTTTCACTATACACATAAACTATGCTATAAATATAACACAGTTTTCTACTGAATTACTCCAATCCTACTCAGCTGCCTTTCTAGTTTTCATATTTCATCGTTACATCATGTGAACAATGTGACAGAGAAGTTTTCAAAATGAAAAACCCTTTTTTTGAATAGAGCATGTCATTAAACAAATTTTAAGAGAAAATTTTCTTATTTAGATTATTGATATAGTCATATGTCACATGTTGTTTACTACATGTTAGCTGATTTTGTTTAAATTCATAACTAAACTTCAGTTGGTTGTTTCGGTGTGTTGATTGGTTTAAAAGGTTGTTCTTATGAAGGACTGATTTCAGCTAGGGAGCTAGTCATTGACAACTTGTAAGCATTAGGCAGCTGTTTTGTTCTAGTGTGGAATTCTTCTGCTGTACATTCCATTGATCCATTGAGATGTCAAACTCAGGACTATCAGGTCTCACGGAAAGCATGTAAGGATTTAGCCAATGGGTTACAAGTCATTAATTGACGATACTGAATAGTGTTTGTGTTATATCTCGAATTAAGAGAAGATTGAGAATATGAACTCATGGTGAATGGTACCTTGCTGACTCCGACAACGGAAGATCTCGAGCAAGATCTCTTGCAGGGTCGTATGTATACGTTGGCTGGGTATTTGATGAATAAAGTCGTTCTGTACGGGAGGTAAATTGACGATATCTGAGTAATATACCCCAAACAAGAGGATATAATAAGCTTTGTAAGATAACTAACATCAAAAGAAAGTGATATTTACCTTTGTTCTCTCGACTACCTGATTGGTAACATGATCTCTAGAAGACCTGACGGTACTCAGCCAAATCTTTAACGAGTTCGAAAGAATGAGCACAACTTACGAGTTCCATGGTAAGAATGAAACAGCTGTTCAGTACTTCTAGTTTTTCTCAGTGGTTCTTGGACTAATATTGGTCGGTAATTTATACTACCTTTGAATAGCCTGCGCATTGTATAAGAAAGTCATCTGTATGTCTCTTGTTGGCTAGAGTGTTTCTCGGAGTATTCCGGACAAAGTATGACCTATCTTTATGTTGACTATCTACAGAGTGGAACAGAATAGCGGAAATCATCGGTTTAGTGATTTCTTTTTCAGGCAAGGCTTGTACATATATATGAATGCAAACTATCTAACTAGCTCCACAAAAAGCACTTAGCCTGATATTCCCAATCTGAAGTGACTGTCATCTGTAGTCTATCCTTAACGCATTGTATTAATTCCAAGTTGTTATTCATCGTAGACTGATGTCAGTTAGAGGAACAAAGGAAACCTGGGAGCATTGGACAACTGTTTCCTCCCAGTATGGGACGGACTCCTCAGCAGTACGCACCCACGATCCCATCCTCACCGGATCGAACCTACGCCCTCAGGTTCCGTGGCCAGCATGTTACCATTGAGCTAGCCACTGCGTCAGAATGCAATCGTCCATATTTCCAGCTTCTTGTAGCTCCCTTAAAATTCAATTGAACTGGTGCTCATTGGTGACTAGCCTCAAGAGGTATCCCCGAAGTTCCAATGAGAAGTCGTGAACGGTGGGGCCAAAGCCGATGGTCGTGAGGACAGATACTCAACGATGAAATTGGGTGGCGGTTGCGCTATATCGTGAGCTAACAGAAGTTGGAAATATGGACGATTGGATTGTGACCCAGTGGTTAGCTCAATGGTAAGGTGGTGGCCACGGGACCTGAATGTCGTGGGTGCGCACTAGTGAGGAGTCAGTTCCATACTAGTCTGACGAAA